TGGGGAGAGTCTGGAGCTGCAGACAGCTAGTGCTCCAGCAGTCCCCTCATCATGGAAGGAGCAATTAGAAAAGGGACTGTCCCTGGGTATTCGAGGTGGGTTGAGAACACTTCACCAAAAACGGTTTGGGTCTCAGAATTTAACTGTCTTTTGATGATGGGAGGTGCACGACCACCTTCAGTGGGACTTGATGAATCATTTCCCACTTGTGGGACTCTGGACTTTTTATCTATAAAAGAAATGGATTGCCCACCCCCAACATCCTGATTCCCAAGCTAAGCAATCAAAAGGATATCCTTGATTTCTCCACCCTGAACCCCTATTCCCAAAGGAACTGGATGAGGCCTTACTAGATGAAGCCATCTCCCACTGCCCAGGTGCTCAGGGGCTAGAGAATCAATTCATGAACCTCCCAGAGCCAGAGATGAGAGAGAGTATATCTAGCCACCATCCAAGGTGTCTCAAGCCTCAATGAACAAAAATAACCTGGGGAGATTGGGAAGTGTCAACAAAGCAGAGGCCTGATCCCACCCTTGGAGACCAGGGAACCAGGTATGCTGAGACAGAAGACTCAGGCAAAAACCAGAGCAGAACAAGTTCCTCCCACTTGGATGTCTTCTATAGTCAAGAGACATCTCCCAGGCACCTTCCACAAGCCAGGGCCTAGGGAACCCAAAAACCAGGACACAGTGACTACACTCAAGGAACTCAGTATAGGAGGAGAATCAACATTTCGGTAATGGGAAACTGTGACGTTATTTGGTGTGGTCACAAAGGGACAATCACGCTGTTGTGAGCAGGCTGGAGTGAGGTGGGGACTATGGTTTTAAATCCCTGATGAGCAGTTAACTTTACACAAAGAGGAAAAAGTCCTAGCCTCAGAAAGACTCCCAACTGTAGCCACAGGCTGGCAGAGCCACAAAATAAACCCACCTGACAGTCACAAAGAGCACATACAACTCACATCCTGACCCCAACACCAACCACAAAGGGTCCCAACCCAGACTGGAGCCTCAGGATGAGCCTCGATCTTCCTCCATTCCCAGCGCTGACTCTGATCTTGGGATCAGGACAGAAAAGTCATAAGCTGGGAAATTCCTGAACTGAGTTAAACAGGAAAAGGACAGAGCACTTGGGGCAGGAGAGGTCCTCTGACTGTGGGTCATGGAGCTTTCCCTGAAGATTACTGATCCTCTCTGGGCCCCCTCCCTGACCACCCCTGGTCCCGGATGGCCAGAGCAGAGCAGATTCCTGACCACTCCTCTGGCTCCTCATCTCCACATACCCTCTAACTCCTTCCTTTCAACACGTCCGCACACTTGGGTCCATATCCTCTCACATTTTCACCACCTCCACTCACTCCTCAGCATTATGCCATCTGCTGTCACCTCCACCCCTCTCTAGGACTGGTCTCAGTTACACCCCAGCAACCGTCAGGCCACTCTGCCCAGCGGCCACTGTGCATTCCAAGTCATACTTGGCCTTTCCACAGCAGTGGGCCCAGCTGCCCATCCCTTCCTGCGAAATGCTCCTCCCACCATGCCAGTGTCCAGCCTTGTTGGCAGAAGCCCCAGCACCAGTTTCCACCTGGGGGTGCTCCTTAAGCTGCCTCCCCAGGAACCTCTCTTCTCACTCTACCCTCTCCCTGGAAAATTCACCCACCCCAGAGCTTCAGTTCTCTCCTCCATGAGAACCACTCCCAGAGTCTGACCTCCAGGCCACACCCTTCCTCCAAGCCTGGCCCCAAATACCCAGCTGCTCACTGACATGCCCATTCCTGTCTCAGGCATGTCCAACTCAGAACTTCCAACCTGACCCTCATCCTCCCTCCTGGGTCATTCCTGTCTTAAAGAATGGCTATACCAAGTCTAGTTGCTCCAAACCTGGGGGTCATTCTTGCCTCCTATCTCTCCTCAAATCCTCTCACGTCATCCAGCTACCATGCAGGAAATCCAAGATCTGACTACTTTCAAATAAGCCTACTGGCTCCTTGGAGTCAGTACCCATCCTCTCCCTAGGACTCCTGCAGTAGCCTCTGGATCATCTCCTAATCTCTACTCTGCTCTCTCCCACACATTCCCTTCACAACATCCAGGGTGATTGTTCAAAAGTCCCATCATCTGAATCTTCTAGCCAAACTCTTCAATGTCTGCAATACGGAAAACCTCCAAATCCTCTGCCAAACTTCCAGGTATCTGTTTGACCCTGTCTTCTACCTATAGTTATCAACCTCTTTATCCCTAATTTGGGATGCTCACCATCCTGGGATGTGTGTGTGTGTGTGTTGTTTTTTGGTGGTTTTGTTTTTGTTTTTTTGAAGTAGGGGGAATTGAACCCAGAGCCTGGTGAGTGTTAGGCAAGTGCTTTACCACTAAGCCACATCCCCGGCCCTACATAACCTTTTCTCTCCTTGAAGCATTTACACAAGTCTAAGCACCGCTGCTCAAGCTGTCACGTGCATTAAAATCACCTGGAAATGTTGATAAAAGGCAAATTCTAATAAATGGCCTTGGATGGGGCCTGAGAGATTCTGCCTTTTTTTTTAAAGTATCAGGATGAACTCGGGGTCTCACATGCTAAGCAAACACTCTACCACTGAGCTGCACCCCCCAGCCCTAAGTTCTGCTCTTCTAAGGATCTCCCAAACAATTCAGGTGTTGCTGGTCCTCTGGCCTCATAATAGCAAGGATCTAGAACACTATGCTCCACTCTGACTCCACCTTTGCCTAAGTCCTGTTAAACTCTCAGAGTTCAGTTTAAATACCATTCCCTCCAGGAAGCTCTACCTGTCATCAAAGCCCCTCAGGCACCAGCCTCATATTTTCCCTGAGCCAACTGCACCTCTCCTTGGAACACCTATCATACCTAACCATCCCTCTCTCATTCTTCACTTTATAGCTTTTGGCTCCCTAGAGAGACTACAAACTCTAAGACAACAGGTACCACAATATCTAGTTCACTTCTAGGTCCTCAGCACCCAGCACTGGGCTGGCACATCATCAGCACCTGATAGGAAGCTGTTGGTCTAGCCTGCCCTGCCTTCATCTCTCCCTCTTCTCACACTAGCATTTCAATTTCCTTTGAGGAGCCACCCCTCCTCCATTTCAAGTTATTACAGTTTAAGTCATGAGACCATGCCTAGCCAATCAGAGCCTTCCATCTCTCTGGCCACAATGATTGGTTCAGGTATAGTCATGTGATCTCAGTCAGGCCAATGAGCTTCCTCCCTGGCACTTTTGTTGGAACTAATGGGGAAAAGATACTCTTTCTTTTCCATGGGGGTTACTTAACCAAGATATTGTCATTATCTCACCACCACAGAGACAAAGCTTGACAAAGGATGAAACTAACACACAATGCAGAGGGAAAGAGACAGAGACCATGGATATATACTTGCCTGGCATCTATACTTGTTGTGACAAAGGCAAGAAAAGTTCTCTTTTATGCCTTAGCTGAAGTGAGTTGTTTCTGTCACTTGCAACCAAGAGTCCTGACTAATACAACATTCAAATAAATATTGGGTGTTGAGTGAATTAAACGAGCGTGTGAGTAAAGGCTGCCAAGAGTACTCAGGGACTCCTCCCAGGTTTTCCAAGCTCTCCTTATAAACTAACCATCCATAAGCAGAGACAAGCTTCCCACGCCCAGCTCTGCAGACCAAGGGGCTGAAACTCAGAAGAATGACATGTTCCTTGGCTTTACCTGGTGCAAGCAAACCACCCCAGCATCTGGGTCAGATACCAGCCCTAGAACTAGGCTGGTGGAGACGACCTGGCTTTTGGTAGGTCCTGGTATTCCACCAGGAGGGGAGTAGAGCTGTCTTCTGTCAGCCTTCTGTCCTGTTCCATCCCCTTCCCACCCCCTTCCCACCCCCTACTGAACACCTAACCCAACCAGGGCAGGCTTTACTGCCATTGCATATATTCCCCCTTAGTGTATACCAAGTGGCTCTGTACAAGGCGGGTATCTGATATGTGATGATAACAGGAAGATGGACAGTTTTTATCTGCTTCCTTTGGGAGTATCACACTACAAAAGATTAAGTCAAGGGAGAGGGGGAGCAAGACAGATCAGTAGGGAAAAGATGCCTAGTTATTTCCCTGTGAGTCACCTCAGAGCAGAGGCCTGGGACAGGGATACAGGCTGGCCTAGGTGTCCCTTCAGATGACTCAGGAGGAAGGTGACTTCTTCAGAGCCAGTCCTCACCCAAAAAAAGTGTGAAGGCAGGAGGGAGGGGAGAGGATGTACAGCAGCCCAGGCAGGCGCAGTGGCTGAGCAGCAAGCCCCCCTGAAGGCCAGTGCAGGCCCAAGGAGCCATCCTGCAGGAGGTGGGAGCAGGAGTAGTGAAAGGTGAAAGGGGAAGAAGATTGTGGGAGTGGGGGGTGGCAGGGAAGTTAGGCTCCTCTTTCCAGGAAGAGGATAGCCCTAGGCCTGGGGTCCTGGGATGTAATCTCCCTGGAAAGAGGCTTCTGAACAAAGTGCTGATACACCACTGCCCCCCTCCCAGCCTTCAGGGCAACTCCCACATAGGAATTGGGGTAATAGGGCCATCCCAAGGAGACCAGAGAGAGGCAGGTAGGCCAGCATGCAGACACCACCCAAGTCCCAGGAACATCCACTCCCAGCCCCTAACAGTCCCCGGCAGCTGCCCCTTAAGACACCCAACTACATTCTGTCTCTTCTACCTCCTCCAGCCTGGGCCCCTTGTTCCCAAACCCCACCCCTCCACAAGGCCTCTCGCTAATAACCAAGTGTCCTGCCAAACCCATGTCAGTCCCAGTCTATTACCTCGCTGCCCCTTGACACAAACACCCCTGAGTCTCCATCACACTTTCCTCCTGCTCTGGAAAGCTTAATTGGATGCTGGTTCCAGAGGCAACAGGCACTCCATGGCCCCCAGTGGGACAAGGGCAGCTGGCCTGGAGCCAAAGCCACAGTCTGGCCTCAAGACTCTCCCCCACACTCCCTCCCTCACTGCTTCCCAGCCAGGAGCTTCTTACCTTCATGGTGGGGGGCGCAGTGAGAGGAGGGGACAGTGGCCGGTCTGGGAGGGTCACATCTGAGCTGTTGGCCAGCTCCTGCTTCCTGTGAAGAGACCAAAAAAAAAAAACCAGAAGTGGTGAGCAAGGCCCTGCCCATGCCTTCCCTTTCTGCTCTAAGAGTGGCTGGGCTTGGGAGGCAGCCTGATAGACAATGCAGAAAACCAGAGTTGACTGTCTTCCTTTATTGTGATGTACTAACATCTAAAGACGTGGTTCCTGGGGGATCCCTGGACCACCAGCAGCCCCTGGGAGCTTCTTAGAAAGGTGAGTCCTCAGGTGCAGGCCAGAACCTCCAGGAATGGGGCCCAAGAATCTGTGTTTTAATAAGTTCTCCAGGTGATTCTGATATACCCACCAGTCTAAGAGACACAGACTAGGCTGGGGAAGGGGTGGGATTCATTCTCCTTTGGGCCCCTCTATACACACACTCACACACACACACACACACACACACACACAGGCCCAGGCAGAAGAGCTGACCTTGGGAAGCCAGGGAGCTGCAGGTTAAACTTATTTTAGTCCATGTGGGCTAGGACCAGAGAGAGGCAGCTAAACAGAGTTGTGTCACCATGGCAACATGATTGCGACAAGTTCGCGGCTCTCACACACTCCCCACTTCCCATCTGGCCCTTGCCAGTGACCAGGGAGAGCTTGTTTGCTGTCCCATCACCAGGCAGACTGGGGTGGGAAAAGGCTTCGGAGAGAATTACGAAACAGGGCCAGCTGGGCAGAACCTGGGGCGTCCCAGAGAGAGAGAGACTCTAGTGTCCAGGACATGCCCTGGCTAAAGCCCAGGAAGGGAACGGAAGGAAAGCATAACAGTATTGAGAGCCTAAGACCACAGAGCCATCAAAACGCCCAGCTTTACCAGAAGCAGCCAAGAGAATCAGCCCAACACACATGTCTCACTAAAATGATCAATGGGCCTCCAACAGCCACCTGGGGAGAATGCTTCTGCACCTCTTTCCAGCCAGCAGGGATGACAGCTCCAACCCAAGCCTTCATGAGAGAAACACACATTCCCTATTCCTGAGCATTCTAGGGGAAAGCACTGCCTGGCTCTGGGGCCCAGTCACCAACACCTCTTAGCCCATGTGACAGGTCCAATCTAACACCTCCTGAGACATCAGGCTGGGCTACAGGACCATGCTACCCTGGCACAACAACCCTTGCCCGCCCAGAAGCCAGCCACCCTTCTCTGTCCTCTGGCCAGAGGACACTGGTGAACATCTGGCTTGGCACAGGATTCACATGACTCCATTAACCTCAACCTTGGCCATGCCCCCTTTCTGCTCCTCCACCTGCCTTCATCTGAATTTCTTCCTGGACCTTGGTGATGTGACCTATGAGAGTTGGAGAGGGGGTTCTCCCCCCTCCTAATCCAAACTTTAACTGGCTCAAGAAACCAGCAGGGCCAAGACTCAGGACATGAACACACACACGCACACCCATTCACACTCACATAAAGAAATGCACTAGCTCCTTCTACCTTGCAGCTAGAGCCACCAGCCTCCACTTCCATATTTGACCTCAGACATAACTTCCACGGGTCCTACCTGAGGACTCAACAGAGCTGGTCCAGCACATGCTCCACTCTCCTCAGCCCACTCCCAAGCAGCCACTGCTCCTCCTCCATGGGTCTGGCCCCTGAGAAGCAGGAGCTGGGAGGGGAAGGGAGGAAGGACGATCGAGGATAGGGAACACCATCCTCAAGTCCCTTAAAGTGATGACAGGGTAGCTCCCCTTGGGGCTGGAAGGCTGGCAGGGAAAACCAAGCAAGAGCGGAGGGCAGGCAAGACCCCCACTGAACACTGCGGGGTTGTGGCTCAGTGGTAGAGTGCTTGCCTAGCACATGTGAGGCACTGGGTTCAATCCTCAGCCCCACAAAAAAAATAAATAAATAACATAATTAGTTGTAGTTGTGTCCATCTACAACTAAAAAAAAAAAAAAAAAAAAACTTTTTTTAATACTTAAAAAAAAAAAAAAAAAGATCCCCACCCAGCAGCCACCAGGATGCTCTGAGCTTAGAAGGATCACTGGCCCACCCCCCTGGAAATGGTTTGTAAACACCTTGATCAACAGCAGCCCAGGCTCTCCAGGAACACAAACCCTAGAGAAAGGCAATGCTGGCAGGTTGTTAACATCACTGGCCAAGGGTTCTATGTCCACATCCATAGATCCAGAACCGATATGATTATTGTCCAGGGTCTCTGAGTCCCAAGCACACGGCCCCCAACACCAACCCTCCCTGGGCTGAGCACTCTCTCCTGAGTCAGCCTGTTTCCCCTGAATGCTGGAAAAACTCCTGGAAGCAATCTCCCAGTGAGTGATAAAGAATATCAAGTGGGAACAGAGAGCAGTTTCTGCCAGAAGGGTTTTCCAAGTGACACCTGGGAGCAGGAATGAACACCTGAGGCTAACAACTTCCAGGGCTATGTCCAGGACCCCAGAAGGGAGACCAGGGTGGGCAGAAGGCATGGCTGCTGTCTTCAAAAAGATCAGAACTCAGAGTATGCACAGGCTTTTGGCTACAAATTAAAGTCCACCTTGCCTTGATATCTGAATGGCTTTGGGGGGGGGGGGCACCTGTGGGCTGGTGTGGGCCATACTGCACCATTCCCATTCTTGGCTACAGCCCTCCCCACTACTTTAGAGTTAATTGCCTGTTAAGGGTTGAAATTGTTCCCCAAAAAGATATGGTGACATCCTCATCCGCAGTACCCATGACTAGGGACTTATTTGGAAATAAGATCTTTGCATATATAATCAAGATGAGTTCACAGGGGAAGCCTTCAACTCAGTATGACCAATGTCCCTATAAGAAGGGAAGGCAACCAGTAAAGGCAAGGACATGTGGAGAGCGCCATGTGATAGTGGAGGCAGAAACTGGAGTGAAGCAACCACAAGCTGAGAATGCCAAGGATTGGCAGTCACCACCAGAAGCTAGAAGAAGCAGCGGGGAGCCAGGCACAATGGCATCCCACTGTAATCCCAGTGGCGCAGGAGGATCATAAGTTCAAAGCTAGCCTCAGCAATTTAGCAAGGCCCTATGCAACTTAGTAAGACCCTTTCTCTAAATAAAATGTTTCAAAAGGGCTGGAGATGTGGCTCAATGGCTAAGTGCCCCTGGGTTCAATCCCTAGTACCATAAAAAAAAAAAAAAAAAAAAAAAAAGAGGAAGAAGCAGCAAGGGAGGACACTGCCCTAGAGTCGTCAGAGGGAGCACAGCAGTGCATGGTAATGACAGCCTTAACGGGAACAATACACAGCCCATGTCCCCAGTTAGTTCTAGCCTTGGTCTCGTGACTGGTACAAAAACAAGAAGGTGAAATCCATTGTTATTATGGTTTAGATATGAGGTGCCTCCCAAAAGCTCATGCATAAGACAATGTAAGAACATTCAGAGGTGAAAGGATCAGGCTATGATAACTTTAATCCAATCACTGAATTAATCCCCGACTGGATTAACTGACTGGCAACTGAAGGTGGGCAGGGTGTGGCTGGAGGAGGTGGGCACTGGGGGGTGCACCTTTGGGATATATATTTTGTATCTCTCTGCTTACTGACCGTCAGGTGAGCTGCTTCCCTCCACCACACTCTTCAGCCCTGATGTCCTGCCTCAACTCGAGCCCCGAGGAATGGAACCATCTATGGACTAAGACCTCTGAAACCGTGAGCCCTGAAATAAACTTTTCCTCCCCTAAAATTGTTCTTGTCAGGTCTTCCTTCTTCACGGAGGCAAAAAAGCTGACTAAAACAACCATGCTTCTGCCCCACCTCTCTGCTCTGATCTGCTGTGCTCGACCTTGTCCTGCCCCAGTCCTCATGACAATGACATTTGCATGTGAGCCACCCTGCTCCCAGGACAGCCAGGCCAGACCTAGCCACCAGCTGGTACAAAGATAAGATAGAGTAAGAGCTGCATGCTCAGTGAAGGGGCAGCCCTTTCTCTCCCACTCAGGCAAACATATCACACACAAGAAAGGGAAATGGTGTGATTATTATCAAGGTATAACCTTGAATCTGCTCTCCTTTATGATGAGTAAAAGGTAAATGATTAGCAGAGGGGACAACTTTCTTGTAAGCCACAGTGATCCTGCCATGTGTCATGACCCTGAGATTGAAAACTGCCCGTGATCAACCCAGACAGAACTCACACGTGCTCTAAGGACATAGGGTCCCAGATCCAACTAGGGAACCAGAGTGACCCAAAAAGGAGAGGAAGCCAGAGGAAGAGGAAATTTGTACACTCAGCTGAAAGAGAGGGCTATGCAGGTGGCTGACAGGCAGGTCAGGGGTCCTGGAGACCCTGAGCTCCTCACTCAGCATGTCTGCCACCCCAGGGCCAGGTGGCGCTGAAGCTTCCCATTCTGGGATTCTTTCCCTAAAGTATGAGAGATCCTGAGCACATGGGAGGGCTCAGAGAGGTCAGCAGCGGCCCTGGCCTTTAGCCAAATACCCTCACGAGAAAAGAACCAAAGGGACCTGGAGAAGAAGCTGTAAGAGTCCCTGTGACAACACCCAGGCTTCCAGGGTCCTCACCTCACCCTTAAGTGGCTCTGCCCCAGACACTTGAGGTCATTACAACAGTTCACCATCTCTTACGAGATGCTACACTAGGAATCCAGAGACTCCTGCATTCAAGTCTGGCTTTCCCTGAGAGTCTACTGTGTGACCTTGGTTAAGTTACCTCATCTCTCTGTGTCTAAGTCCCTTCGCCTGCAAAGATGCAGGTAATAACGTTCTGAGGAATTAAAAGTAATGGCTATAAGATAAAACACAAAGTCCTACATACAAATATAGAAAATGATAATGATGATGATAATGATGATTATGTATTTCATAAAATGGGGATCTGGTCTCCAAGTGAAAACAGAGAACCAAGGGTTCAGGGCTGTTTAAATGTCTCACAAAAACATTCCTGGCATCTCAATAAGCTCCAATTCTAGCCCTAGGGATCTACTCCCAGGATTACAATTATTGGTTAATAATCAACAGCAGGAAAAATCCCCTCCTAACAGCTCTGGGTCCAGGTGTGAGGC